ACGTATTTCTAGTATATTAATTAGTTTGTAGAGGATTTTATTGCTACGAGGACATGGCCATCAACAGAGGTCATATCGAGGTCACATTAGACAGCAAACAGTCTCTTCCGTTGTTTTCCCACATAGTTAGTGGAATAACAATATAGAAAGAAGAGCAAGAGAATACCTTGCTTCTGATAAGAATCAAACTATTAAAAATTCGGTCAACCATTCCTCCTGAAAACTTTGCTTGCAATGTTTTAGTCCGTAAACACGCCGTATCGATCAGCTATCCCTGCAAGTGTCTTCGAGGATGGGGAGGCAAGAGCAGTAAAATAAACAAACAAACAAAGAAACAAATAAGCAAAAACAAAAACACCAAGCCCTGGCTTACCAAGACATTTCCGAGTCGCAAATCACCATGAACATATCCCATGCTGTGAACAACGATCAAGGCGTCCAGTATCTGCTGCGCCCATCGAAGGACATGCGCAACGGTCATGGAATTGTCTGCTGGATTGTTTCCCGAATGCTCAACTAAATAGGTCTTGAGGGACTCTCCACACTGCTCTGTCACAAATACTGCTTCCACTCCTCTTGGAACTTCTCTGAAGGTAGTACCGTAAAACTGAACAATGTGTGGATGGCGTAGATTTCTAAAAGTAACCGGAGGAAAGAAGGCGGCAATTTAAAATGACAGTCGACAAAATTAATACTATACCTCACTATTCCCCGAGAGAATAGTGGAGGATAACATACCGACACGCCAAAATCAAAGGTTTATATTTAGCGCTATGCACAGACCCTGTTGTTTTGCATATTTACCAACTTGCCCAGTAGCATCCCCTAGTCCTAAATGGCAAACCCCTTGAATTAGTCACCAGTGCCAAATTGCTAGGCGTGACCCTTAGCCACGATTTAAATTGGAACATGCACTCCTCTGAACTAATTAGAAAATGTTCCTGTCGTCTCTATTTTTTACGTCAACTCAAGAGATCCGGAGTGGCACCAAGTGAACTGGTGCAATTCCATGTGACATGTATTAGGCCCGTCCTGGAATACGCAAGTCCTGTATTCCATCGTTCTCTACCAAACAACATCAGTGAAGATTTGGAACGGATCCAAAGAAGGGCTTTCAGAATCATCTATCCTGACCTGTCATATAGTGTAGCACTAGAAACAGTTGGCCTACCGAAACTTCATGAGAGGAGTTTCAATCGATCTGTTTGACGAGATCGTCTGTAACCCCACACACACTCTCCATAGCCTCCTCCACCAATGGAAGAGTTGTAAATATGCACTGAGACGCAAAAGTGATTTCACTCTCCCCCTATGTAAAACCGAGTGTTTGAAGAAAAGTTTTATTTTTAGCCATGTCTATAAGATGTAGATAATTTTCTTATTTTCTCTTTGTTATCATCAGTATTTGTAAATATCCCGTAATTCAGCCTATGGCTGCAATGGTGTTTATAATAAAGTATCTATCAAGTATCTATCTATCATCAAATTGAACAAGCCCCTTAAAAAAATTGTGGTGTAAGAGACGCGGTTGAAGACACGTCACTATATATTCAGTTTCAAAACATTTCCCGGCTGCCTGATCACTGCCACAAAACACAGCGTATTTCGCTTTCTTTCCGGATTTCTCGCATTTATTTAGTGACTCAGACCACTTTTTCAGGGATCCTTGATCTCTCACATTCTTCCCAGCTGCAACGCGAAAAAAACAATGTTTTGACTCAAACGCGCATACAAGCCTTTGAGTGAGAAGTAAAGTTTGTGTGAGTCATGCGGGGGGTCTTACCAGACGTAGATTATTTTTAGAATCTCTGCGCAGCGCTATTTGTCGAACAACGCTTTTTCAAGCAGGTCCACTATCCGGCCAAAAGGATGGAGCCAAGACTGCCCAAAACATGGTCTACAAGACGAGCACTGCTGCTGAAGTTCGGGCATGCGCGAAAGTAAAAAATTTGGCATTGGAATAGTTGTGACACACATTTAAATGCAAAGGCGGTTATAGTTAAATGTCTATGTGAGTATTAATCGATCGCCTGCTTATTTCTTCTTTTTTCAGGATTACAAGTTCCTCGACATAAATCATATTATTTTTAGAACTGATGCTACCATGTGGGTTGATAATGTTGATGCTGTCAGAGTAGGGATACTTCTCACTTTGTTGTCAGAGGAAGTTTAAATAAACTGAATAGGGAAAAAAAATGAGTCAAATATGTTTTTTCTTCATTTGTTCTGGAAACGCGATCATGCACTCTAAAGGTACATAATAATAATAATAATAATAGTAATAATAATAATAATAATGGAATTCATATAGCGCTTATACATCGCTGTTCTAAGCGCTTTACAATGTAAAAAAGGACATAAGAATATCATTAAGCACAAGCTTACATATAACCCTACTGTACATGTACATACATGAACGCATGCACAAAATATTGGCGATGAATCCAAGAGCCAAGATGATATGAGTTAAAAGACCAAAAGGAACAAGGGGAGGGTATGATACAATTCACCTAACCTCATTTTCAGTTATAAGGGTTTTGACAACTTTTGCATATGCGCTTTCTCTTATGTGACATCAGTGTTAATGGGGGCCACAGTACAGCTATATGTAATTTCAAGTTTTAAGTACAATTCTAACTAAAGTACCAGATTTCTGCCAATCAGCACGAAGCGGAAACGAGCGCGAATGTAAACAAACATTGAAAAACACGTGCCCTGGGTAATGACGTCAGCACTACTGTCATCTTCACCAATCAGCATTTCGCATCGGCTTTTTCAATGCAGATATTGAAATAGAGAGAAGCGTGACGTTACCATGGTAGCACTATTTCTGGATGACATCGAAACAAACGACAACGTTGACGGCAAGGAGAACGGCAAAAAAGTAATAGGTTTTTATTGACAAACAACAGCTCGTGCAACGCGCTATTTTGTACATTTCTTTGCCTTCGTTGCACCACTGCGACATGAAACTTCCTAATTCCATACGCACGCTTTATGGAGTAGGTGAACACAACAGAAAAGTTGTCTTTTCCGGATTCAACCTGAGAAAAGTTCGCGAACATTTGCCAAATTAAATAGAATTGGACAAGATCGATGAAGTTTGTGGCAAAGCGAACTCACTTTTTAAGTGATGTTTTTGGTGTAAAAAGGGGGTCGGTAGGCAACACACGACTTTTACCTCATACCAAAATGCTGCTTGTTCCAATAATTTTTTTCTTTTTCTCTGACGGGTAGATTATGCTCGGGGGAAAAACGTTTTGACTGATCGAATATGATTTTTGCCGCTTATTTCAAACTGAGAGGTCGTGACACGCATATTGATTTTTTGCGGTTATTGTTTCTGGTCGGGATGATTTGCCCTCTGATGCAAGAGCATTTTTTCTTTGACCTCTTTTGAAATGTAAAGTTCTTCATTGCAGCTAAATAGGGGTTTTAGGTTGTTTAATTTCTCCAAAGTGCCTCCTGGATCTGAATAATTATAAGCGATTTTCTTTTTGTTCGTGAATGTGTACCATGGCAACGTGACGTAACGACGTCTCCTCTTTCTTCCAGAGACGTTTAGTTGCAAGCTCTCCTTCCCTTTCCCGCCCCGCCACCACAGCGCTCCTGAGAGCTTGCTCACAGGGTACTCCATTTCTGGCGTAAAAACACACACACTCACTAGGACACACTGCATTAGCCAATAAATTTCTAATCATCAATTCGCCTGGAAAAAATAAAGGAAGTGCCTGGGCGAAAATTCATTCTCTAACGGTATAAACAGATTTTAGAAGACTTAAAAATGTTCTAGCGGGGAATTCTGTATAAAGAAGACAAGGTTTATTTCATCAAGAGTCTCTTCCAGATCTCTCATTATTCGTGCAGGTGTGTTGTCTCCAAATTCACATTTTAGTTGACAACAATAGGTAACATTTCTGCATCTTTCAAATGCATTGTTAGTTACTGCTGTTCACGTCAAAATGAAACTTGGAAGAGACTACCTCTTGGATTGACGTGTTAAAATTATAATTGCTGACCATTGAGCAAATGAGTTTAAGGCACTGCGCAAGAGGAAAATTTCTCCAGAAGATTTGATGCGTCATGCAGGCGTGAAAAATGCCTGGTGTGCCGCGCTGTTTTGTGAAAAACGTCGAAACGTCCACCTCTAATAATGAAACTCGGACGTGATAGGTTGATTACTAAGTGCTAACCCAGAAATAATTTTTTTAAATGATTTATTTTAATTTTTGATCATTGTTCTTATTAAAGAGGAGATTAACGCTCGATTTAAGTCTTCACAAATCTTTACTGGAAAAATCGAAACATTCCGAAAATGAGCAAAAACGGCCTTGATATTGTAAAGAAAATAGTGTTGGCCGTTTTGGAGCCGTTTTCTATTTCTTTTAGGAAAAATTTACTGTTAAAAAGAGTTTTTTTACTTAATTGCAGTAATATTATTACTTAATCTAGCCCGCCAAAAATATGGCCTCGTTTTTAATCTAAAATTACCTTCAGTGGTATTTTTAACTCCTTAGAGTCGCACAATTCTTAAAACAAACAGACGATTACAGTCGTAAGTCATTGTTTACAACAGTACCACCTCCTCACAAATTTACATTAGATGACAAAAATGAACCTATGCCACTGATATTATTATTATAACGGAAAATAAAGCGAGATGTAAAGAATAAACCATAATTATAAGAAGACACAGAAAAATCTGAGCCCCAGATGGGATTCAAACCCACGAACACGTAAAACACGGAGGGTCGAGAGTTCGAGTCCCGTCTCGGGCTCAGATTTTTTCTGTGTCCTTTTATGGTTGATTCTTTACATCTCCCTTTATTTTCCTTCATAATGATAATAATGAAAGTGAATAAGTTACGTATAAGTAATCTATATTGAATTTGCGTCACCTTGCCGGTTTCCTTTTTCCTTAATTTTTTCCAGTTTTTTAGCTACCTTTTGAATGTACTTCCACTCGTTAAGTACACCAGGAAGAAATTAAAATGTGTCGTCTAAGCCTTATCATTTGAATCTAAATGTAAACTCAGATCCTCTGATTTTGAGGAATAGGAAACAGATGCTCTGGTTGATTTTGGCTTTGTTTTAGGCATGACTGGTGGCTTCTGGGAGCAGCTTCTTGGTCGTCGTCCCGATAGTACCGTTTTCTTTGGTGGTGGCGTTGGTGGGCGGGAATCACTGAGCGAGCGTACATCTCCTTTGTTTTTTAGCACTTTTAAAACTGCCAAAGCATCGCTAGCTGTCATTCTTTTGCCTGGACTTTTTTCCCAGCAGGACTCCATGACTGTTGTCCATAATGGAGAAGGCTGCGATGTCTTTTCGATATGCCAAGGTCGAAGTCCATCTTTTACATCTTTGAGGAGCTTGGATTGGTGTCTACTGACCACCGTATCAGCAAACACTCTCTCGCCGTACCACAGCTCCCATAGTATAAAAGCAAAGCTATACATATCTGCTTTGCTGTTGTAGATTCGACGATCCAAAACTTCAGGAGCTAGATACAGGGACGTGCCGCAAATGGTACCAGTGATCTCCTCCTCGTATTTTCCCACTCCCACGTCTGCCAGCTTTACTTCTCCGTCGTGTGTCAACTTCAAAAACAATTTGAAAAGTTAATCATTATAATTACAACGTCCGATCTTATATAATAGGCAATTTCATTCACCATTCATGATTTCAAAGGAAAGCACTGTTTTAGACAGTCACCAAGCTAAAAGGTTAACGTAAGTGTGCATGTCTGTGTCGTGAGATCTTTACTCCAAGTACCATTTCCTTCGCGACAAAAAAGTGTAAAGTCAGTGATGAAAAAACCGACCATTAAAAAAGGCGGCATTTACCTGTTCCTGTTCATATGATTATCTAATTATCGCTTAATGTGGGTATTATAATAACTAACTTACCAGTAAATTATCCAGTTTTAAATCTCTGTGTACAAATCCTTTGCTGTGAATGTAGCACAAGGCATCCAAGACCTGCAGAGCCCAGTTTAGAACCTTGTTCCTTATTGGTTCTTTGGAAAGTCTAGCAGGAGCATTCTCCGGATGGGATGTCACCAGTTCTCTAAGGGAGCAGTCACACAGCTCCAAAACAATGGTTACTGTAGTGCCATTTGTTTCGTGCAGAAGACAGGTTCCAAAATATTTAACGATGCCAGGATGTCGCAACTCTCTTTAAAAAAGGTAAACCAAGATAGTGAAACAATTTTGTTCAATTTCATAATAATAATAATAAAAAAAAAAATCTTGACATATGGACAATACTTTGTAAAGTCTTTAGTAGCATGCGCCTATAATTCATTGCTAGGAATGAGTAGGTTTTTCATTCAACCGAGTAGTTAAGCTTTTTGGCTAATGATTTTCCCCGTATGTTTTTTATTAAAAAAAAATGAACTGTAAGGAAAGAACGATCTGGTTTCCAATTGCGCTAAGGAAAGAACTTTTTAAGTTCCTCAAATCATGATATTGAAAAAGGAATAATAATGTAATTATAATTTGACTTACTGTTACTTGGTCAGAAGCATTTCACACTAAATAACTCGATAAGAATGAATTAGCTAGAAGTAAACGTCTGAACTCTTGGAAAGGGGTGACTTAAGCCTGACTCGCTAAGGCTTTAACCAGGATATCAATTTATTCTGAGTATTAAACTGGACTTTTTAGCTGCTACCACTGTTGTCGTTATATCACTCTCACGCACGCGGTTGCAGAGACTATTAAGAACACAAAGAACCTTTTAAACCCCCATTCCATAAGTAAAAGATTAGTGGTGGCCAGAAATGGAGTTAGCACTGCAAGAATTAACCCTAGGGTCATAGGATGAGGGCTTTTTTTCTACACTGATCGCCACCCAAATCAAGCCCGCGAAGACCTATTAGTTAGCTAAAGGTTACGGAATGGTAATCTTCGTTTTCGTGATTGTTTAAAACAAACCTTAAAGCTTTTTCCTCATCAACAAAATGCCACACGTTGCTGGCACTCAGCGGATGTATATATTCTTTTATGGCCACGTTCACTTCCGGTTTTCCACTCTGAGTAAGTATTCCTCTGTACACCGTCGAGAAACTCCCTCTGCCTATGATTGACTGGCGATGTTCATCCCATTTCAACTCATCCCGGGAAAAGTCCGACCTTCTCATTTCTTTGAGACTAAAAACGGTTAGTTCGCGCCTTAAGAATTCTGCCTCCATAGCCAAAGGTTCGTAGGTTTCGCGAACCACGGTCTTACTTCTGTCATCGTCAAGTAGCTTTTGGTAAAACTTGTCGTTACATTCCAGTAGCTTGGGCATTTTATCCTTGAGTTGTACCAGGCAGTGAATGGCATCTTCCAGCTGTTCGTTGATGAGGGGCAATAGTCGATCTTGAGTCCCAATCTTCTCCAGGCATTTCTTTGATCTCTTTGACATGTAGGCAGACGGGTCTTCTTGATACTTATCCCGCTTACCTCTGTAACGTAACTTCTTCTTGAAAGTCTTGTACAAACCAAGTGTTAGGAGAGGAGATCCTACAATCACTGGTGCTAAGCCTTGTCTAAGCCATATTGGAGCAATGCCCTTGAACACTTTCCGTGATTTTTCTCGAGAATGAGTTGCATCCTCGTCTGCGTCCAAAAAGACGTTTTCTTCCACTTGATGAATTGCTTCTTCCATGATAACGTAATTTTTACAGCAAAATGTAACGAGTGAAGCCTGAGCAGCTGCAAATTCCTGCGTCTCATCTTCCCAGTTCTGAACAAACTGCTGGGTCCTCTTTGAAATGCATTTTAGAACCTCATCCTTTGTCAGCTGCCAGGTTTCTTTGACCTCAGGTGCCTCATCAGGGGACCATTCACAAAACTGCTTGACCGTCTCTTCAGATTTGAAGTGCTCTGACAGCTTTGCAATGATATCTTCCAGGATCTCTGACTGATATTTACTAAGCTCATCAAATTTACGCTGCTGAGATTCTTGCAGTTCTTGCATCCGCCTCTTTGCCTTTGAAATTTTCTCCTTTGTTTCTTGGAGGGACAGCTTTGTGGTCTTAAGAAATATTTTAACTTGATGGGAGACACGCAAAAGGACTTCCTCCAGCCATCTGTTGAATAATGGCAAGGAAAATAAACTCATTACTTCGTTGTCGCCTCGACTCTAGCGGTGGTTTATTCCATAATAATTATAGTGAAGGGGAGGCAGAAACGATTTAAATTGAGTTCAAATTTCACGATCTTCGGAGCTCTTTTCCGGCTGTAGTTGTTTCCAAAATATTCGAATATACCTCTAAAATAAGTGGTTATTACACTAATAATGTCTGCCAGAAATGGGTGCAATCACATCCATTAGTGTATTTTTTTTACTAGCATGTCATAAAAAAACACCCTTTACCCATCACGAATCAAACTATGCATCATCATTTCTAAATGAGTTTACTAATAGTATGTCCTAGTCCCTTTGTGGTCTGCATACCTGTGAAAACTTTGTCTGCTTTGCAAACCCTTGTACTGTTCACGTAAGGTACGTGATCAGCGAGTTTTGGGCTACAACTTCTTTTTAATCCATACACGTTGGAAAATCACTAAGTAAGCAGAAGTGAACCGTGAAAGATCAGAAATATACGTGACTTTACAGCGGTTCGAGAACTGTTCGAAAAAATTCAATTTCACAGGATTTAATCCCCACATATAAACCCTTTGCGATACCGACGCAGTACTTTTACCTCTGACCTCCCTATTTTAGATTTTAAAATGAAAAATATACACATGCATACTAGAGGATGACGATACCAGCTAAAGTAAGTAAATACATGGAATTTCATATTTCACATAAAATAGGTTGAGCATCATCGTCCGGGTGAACGTAGTCCTGTCGGAATAGGACTGTTGCTGACGGTGACAGACGTATCGACTACCTGTGCTTGTGCTATATTCATCTTCAGAGTCAAAGAGATCATGTTAGTTGATGGTATTAAACTCTGGTTATTGACCTAATTGGTCAGTTAGGTCTCGATGCTGTGACAGACGACCAATAACATCGCGACTTCATCAGCACCCATTAGGTCAATAATCAGATCTCATTCTCTCTTGCCAGAGTTTGATTACCATCAACTGACGTGATACTCTGAAGATGTCTACTGCACCGGTTGTCGAAACGTTAGTCACTACAACAGTCCTATTCAGGACTACGTTCACCCGGACGATCATACTCAACCTAATTATGAATGACTCCTACTTTCACATTTTTTATCTCTGATATATTTTCTTTCGTAACAGAATATCATAACACCCTGTCAAAGGCCCGGAATTCATTCACGCCCGCAGACGGAAATGTATAGAATCTCGTGTGAACAACTTAAAGGCTACTGGATTCCATTTTCATACACACAGCCATAACATCTATGGCGGTACGCACGCTTAATCTGTTTGGACAAGCTAACTTTTTCGAAATTGACTGAATAAAAATGTTGAAGCAGATTTCCCCTTTTCTCCTCATAGACCTTGTCAACCCTTTAGACTCTAAGATTAAAACTTGAATTCTCATTTGTTGCCCCTATTCATTTCCCACAGAAGTAGTGGGGAGAATTAGAAGTTGATAAAATATCAGGCAAATTCATCTTTTGTGATCATGTCCGTAATTCTCATGACCACTTTGTTTTACAAAGCGTTGATATTACAAGGAGAAATTTGATGCTGATCACTCTTAGGGCTTAAAGGGTTAAAATACCTGAAATGCATTTCCATCTTGTTTTGCATTGCAGAGACAATAAGATGGCTGATACCAGCGATTAAGTTGTTGAAGTCCGGAGTGATGTAACCAAACTTCTGGCAAGTCTGGGCAGTTGTACACGACAAATAGACCATTTGTTTTCCAGGATCTAGATTTGGAAGCTTCTTGGAAAGTTTTGTGACTTGTGCTTCCTTTACTTCCCTCTGATCGTTAGGTTGAATGAGATCCCACTTGTTACAGACAAACAAAGCGCATCCGGTAAATAGGACGAGATCATTCTTCGTGAGTTTCGCTTGGGCACACTGCAGTAGCTTTTCTAACTGTTTAAAAACAAAGAAGACATTGCTGACTTCCATCGCCAGCTAAAACCCTTAAGGTATGCTTAGTCTCCCCTCTCCCTCTCTCTTCTCCTTCAGAATAATCAGTACAAATATTGGTGACTAAGTTGCTTCTCAAGAACGTTCATTACGCAAATTCCCGAAACACGGACCGCGAATTAAATTAAATTGTACTAATTATCGGCCAAAGGGCTTTGGGTTTTTTGTTTCTGGTTTCTGTCATTCAACGCATTTTATCAAGTTGAAGTATTAAATCTATCGATAAACACCTGTGATGTGAAGATCCACTAGATAAAGTCAATAAAGAGATTTAAGTATTTTAAAGCACTCACTCACTGGCCGGTAAAAATTAATAGTTTACGGAGCTTAAGTAGTGCTGTTAACGACAAGTAGCCTGTGAACAGGCCTTCCCTTTCCTCGTTATTTTTTCCCAAAACAGAGAGCCTGTTCACAGGTTAACGACAAGAAGATAACAGAGCAAGGAGGGTAATGTCCGTACTAATGTTTTCTAAAGTTTGGTTAGCGGTTTCGGTATAGCCCGTGTAGCAAGCGTTTCCGTTTGGTTTCGGCGAAAAAAGAGACCGTGGAAGGGGATTTTCGGTTTTGATCGCTCGAGAAATGAAACAAGAACCAAAAAATGAAGGAGGGGGAGGGGGAGGGATCCTTTCTTTCTTCCCCACCCCCTCCCCGCTCCTCTCTTTGACTCTTGTTCCTCGTTCTTTCAGGCTCCTAAACCGCACAGAAACGCTTTACGCTACGTAGGCTAGTTTCAGTACAATTGATTCATAATCTATAATTCTCACCCTGTCTTTCTGCACTCCTCCAGCATTATGGGTATTGATGACATACATAAAGCAGAACGCGTTAGACATGTAGTTGACTACAAATTCATCCATCACTTCACTTTCTCCTACTCCAGGACTATCCACTATCATAACGTTCTCCTGAAATGACAGTGACATGAGTATCATTAATCACAACTAACTGTGGTAAATTCATGATAACTGAGAGTTAACGTTTTCAAAGATGGATGCGGTCTGAATAAGGTTTGAAAAACTCAGCTTTTGGGAATGCTTAAGTGTTGGACTATCCTTAAAGGTTCTTTAATTCCTCCACCTTTGATAGTTTCCTCCTTTAGGGCGGATTTCCACGGTCGCGTAATTTTTACGTGCGTACGAACGTAAATTTTACACCCGCAAATAAAATAGAAGCAATGCATGAAATGTCGAACGTAAGAGCAAAAGTTGAACCTCTGTCAACCTCACGTTTAGCTCAACACTTTATATCTTTCCTCTATTTTAAATACGCGTTAAAAATTTAAGTGCGTGTACACGTGACAGTGGAAATCAACCCTCAATGTGGCGAGCACGGAACAAGCGAACTCGCGATGCGCGAGAGCTGGAGACAAGCGAGAAGGGCGACAGGGGGATGATGGGAACTGGCGCAGAGCGAGAGTAGGAATTAATTCAAGTATCTCCCAAGAAGTGATCGCCAGCGATTGGGGACGAGGCAGATTCATTCGTTCATTAAAAACCCGTTGCCGTTCGCTACGAGATACCAGACCGGCATGAAAGAACCTGTCAGCAGATGTCGGCTTTTTCTGGACTTGGCAACTTGACGTTGGTTTCGTCGTTGGCTCAATTTAAGACCTCACAGAATATTCACAGAGAGAGAAACAAGTCATTGAACTGACTGCTAATTGCAAATTAAATATAAATTGTTAAACCATTCTCTTGAAACTATATCCCCGTCTGTGTTTGGTACATCTGTCAAATAATTTCTGGTACAAATTTGAATACAAACATAACTTTTCCATGGACCAATTTAGGTTTCTGGGAAACTACCCATCTACCCCTCCCCTAACCCAACATTTTGCCGTAAGTGAGAACTAAGTGTTAATGTTGACTTAAGAGAGGGGTGGGTGGGCAGTTTCCCCGAGACCTAAATTGATCCTTTTCCATTACCTTAAGCAAAGGGTGTGGCCAAAACAACTCTATCTTCTTGTACGGTGTCTTGTCTCGATCAGTTTTCAAGCTAACAAATCTACTGATCTGAGCTGTGTAGTCTTCATCAGGGATTTCATTCAGTTCATGCATTTCTGGGTCAAGCTTTTGTGTTCCGTCATCCTTGAAATGCACTTTAATCATTTTTTTCTCTCCATATTTCAGCTCGCAAATGGTAGAAGTTGTACTCAGGACTGAGAAAGGAAGAAGATCTTCTCCGAGGATCAAATTTATAACGCTACTTTTGCCAGCACTCGTTTCGCCTGTTTATCAAAACAATTTAAAACAAAGAGATATTATTTTATCAGGAGCACGTAAAAAACTGTTGAATGTCCTGCCTGTAAAGGGAAAGAAAAGACCATTTTTTTTGTACCGGAGGGGGGAGGGCGGGGTTGGAAAATTTTGAATTAGATTGTTTGCAGAGGCTGTAAACACTGACATAAATCGTGCAAGTAAAGA